ACTGGGACTTTCCTGGCACAGGACACAGGGCTCCATTCAATCAGCTCACGAGGGAAGAGATGCTGAGTGAGAACTAGAATGACCTCCTGTTGATGCCTGTCAACTACTACCTCTTAAAACTGAGCTAATGCTGCCATTTATCAATAAAATATGGCCATATCCTTTTTTCCTCTGTTTGCACTTACAAACACTGCAAAAAAAGTGATTTTCTTACTCAATATTTTTTTCTTGTGCTTGCTCTCCAGTGTACAAATATCTAAACATTCTTACATCAACATACATTTACTTGAGAAGCAAAATGACATGATATTAAGTCTTGTTTAAAAATTGAACCCCCGGTTTCACAAACAAGGCTTAAACCTAGTCCCAGACTAAAATGTAAGTCTAAGCTGTGTCAACTGAAAGAAACTTGCACTGACTGATCTTAAAATATATCAGTGCTTTTGTTTTGTCTCAAGATGCACACCAGTAATGTGTTTTCTAAGGCATGTTTATGAAAAATTACTTAAATGTCCTAATAGAACTATGGCCTAATCCTGGCTTAGTCTAAGCCCCGTCTGTGAAACCGGGCCTATATGTATCAAAATTAAATTCAATCTTAAAACAATGAAAAAAGTTATTCAGTGCGGTAAGAAAAAAAATTTTACTCAAAGGGAAAACAAGATAATCTTTCTTTCTTAAAGGGATAGTTTACCCAAAAAATAAAGATTAATTTAATTTAATTTAAAAAATCTGTGAAAATGTACTCACTCTCAGGTCATCCGAGATGTAGCCGAGTTTGTTTCTTCAGCAGATTTGGAGAAATGTAGCATTGCATCACTTGCTCACCAGTGGATGCTCTGCAGTGAATGGGTGCCGTCAGAATGAGAGTCCAAACAGCTGATAAAAACATCACAATAATCCAACAGGTAATCCACACCACTCCAGTCCATCAGTTAATGCCTTGTGAAGCCAAAAGATGTGTTTGTAAGAAACACATATATCATTTAGATGTTTTAACTTAAAACTGTTGTTTCCAGCTAAAATACAAATGGAGCCCATAATCCATAATAACACTTCCTCGAGTGAAAAAGTCCTTCTGTTGTTCTCTCCCAACAAAATCCACCCACACATTTGTTTTGAACTCATTTGGACTGTTTTGGCTTGTAAACGGTGCTTGATCTGTGCAGATTCTCTCCTGATTCAGACAAGACTCATTTTTCACTTGAGAAAGCAATATTATGGATTATGGATGTCTTAAATGATGGATTTGTTTCAGCTTTTGGCTTCACAAGCTGTTAACTGATGGACTGGAGTGGTGTGGATTACTTGTGGATTATTGTGATGTTTTTATCAGCTGTTTGGACTCTCATTCTGACGGCACCCATTCACTGCAGAGTGAGCAAGTGATGCAATGCTACATTTCTCCAAATCTGAAAAGAAACAAACTCATCTACATCTTGGATCACCAGAGGGTGAGTACATTTTTAGCTAATTTTCATTTTTGGGTGAACTGTTCCTTTAAGCATAAACTCACTTAATTTTGATAAACGAGATTTAATATCCTAAGTCATTTCTCAAAATGTCTCAATCCTTCTCAAATCAATGCACATTGATTTAAGAATGTTAAAACAAAATGAAGAGCAAAGGAAGTGCATTAGGCGTGCAATCAATGCATTATGTAATTGATCTATTCAGCGCTGCCACAGAGAATGACTGGAAAGTCTCATTGCACAGGTCTGTTGTTTTGAACTGTCTAAATGAGTTATATTTTATGGCAAGCTTTATTGCTATTCTTCATTACATAAGACTGAATTCCACAGCCAACATTCGCATTTTAAACTTAATTAAGACCAATACCAATTTGCTTCCAACATGATTTTTTAACCGACGCCTCCACTGATAATTAGCACACTGCAGTGGCGTTCATGTATGGTCATCTTGTAAATATGATAATCTGCACATGACTCGAGGGCATCATAAGCCTCCAAATCTTCAGCTCAGACAGGCCTCCTCCGTGAGATCTTGAGTGGTTAAACTGATTTAGACTCACAGGACTTTTAACCAGTTATTGTGTGGGTGGAATATATATATATATATTTTTAAATAGAGGAAGTATAATTAAGATGGAGAGCACTCGAGCCAGCTTCCCTGCAGCAGATATTGTATGGTAATAAATTGCAGGCATGTTAGTGTGGATTCACAATGAACCACACTGCTGTAACTGAGAGCATTTGATTGTCAAATCTGAATATCTCATAAAAACATGCTGTTCTGGAATATTATGATGGCACCCTGTAAAAAGACTTTAAAATTCAGATCTGTTAGATTTAAAAAAAAATTGTCATGTCTTTTGCCATAGTTATTTGTAAATACTAGATAAGGATATATATACACATGTATATTTTTTTTAATTTGATAAAAACAGTATGAGGTCTCTTCGGTCCCAGCTTTAACATGTCAACTCCGCTGTTTCACGATTTTATTTACATACATATTTGGCCTGATTTACATGCCTTATTTATTTATTTATTACAACCTGTCACTCACATGAGATCACAGCAACAGTAAATCCTGATGTTATGGACGTCATAGAGAGCGAATATGCCAGTTGACCACTGCTTTAGGCATGCAGGTCAGGCACAAATACAATTGACATCAATTATACAATTATTCAATAAATACAATTTACAATACTGTACAATTACAGTAACTGATGAGGTTTAAAGGCAGCCTACAGATCCTTTGGATTCATATTAGGAACGTTTCTGTTGCTGCTACAGGGCAGCGCATAACAATGCTGACCATTACACTGAACCGAACATAAGCTTCTTGTATTTTGTGAGCTACTAGAGACTCAGACTGAGACATCCACTAGAAGGATTATTGTATTCATTTCATTTAAATATCAGTTTAAAAATTAGCTAGTTGTCATAATTTGCTGTCTTGTCAATCAGTTGGACCTTTGTCAACTCTGTCAGATGAAGGTTTCTGTTCATTTTGAAATAAAGATTTTATTCTTTTTTCAGTATAATGTTTTAAAACAGTAAAACATGAACGGCACTACATGATAATATGTCTATGTGCTCAAACAACATAGGTTATATATGTTTAATATTAAAAATTAAGAAATGTAGGAATTGGATTGTTCATAATAGAGTGAAAACTGGAAAAAATCTAGAGGATGTATTTAACCCTTCTGAAGTTAAAACACTGATATTGTGCTGCTGTCTAAAATTGAATGTAAACATGCCTGAAAACATGGCATCTTTTTTGTTATTTTGACTAATTGCCATTTCATGCACTAAATGACAACATTTAACATTCAGAAGAAATGTCATCCGTAGTTTACAGAATAAAACAGCTATTACTTTTTACTCAGACACATAACTATAAATTGTAAATCCAGAAAAACTGAGAAATTTCAAGTGGTCTCTTAATTTTTTCCATAGCTGCAGCTGTATATATGTGAGCCTGGAGCACAAAAGCAGTGTTAAGTCGCTGGGGTAGCCAACAATACATTGTATGGGTCAAAATGATCAATGTTTCTTTTATGCCAAAAATCATTAAGTTATTAAGTAAAGATTATGTTCCATGAAGATATTTTGTAAATTTCCTACTGTAAATATATCAAAACTTATTTTTTGATTAGTAATATGCATTGCTAAGAACTTCATTTGGACAACTTTAAAGATGATTTTCTCAATATTTAGATTTTTTTGCATCCTCAGATTCCAGATTTTCAATTTTCAAAAAAAAGATATTGTCCTATCATAACAAACCATACATCAATGGAAAGCTTATTTATTCAGCTTTCAGATGATGTACAAATCTCAATTTTGAAAAATTGACACTTATGACTGGTTTTGTGCTCCAGGGTGACAAAATATGTTTTAAAATGTGAGTTTTTATTATTTAATGATACATTATTTATAAATTGATATATTTGTAGAGAAAGGAAATTTTTTGTAATTTTCAAATTTTTTTGGAAAGGAAATGTTTTTTTTCCAAAAATGTATATTTATTCACTTCGTAACTTAATTTGTGTCAACTCCATCAGACGCCTTAAAAAGCATATTTTAATTTGATCCACCCAATATAAAGTCTTCAATGGTGTTCAGTAAAGGAGCTGAAGTGATTAAGAAATCAATATTTGGTGGAAAAACATTTGTTATTTGGACCAATTGTCATTTCTGGCAAAAAAAAAAAAAAAAAGATTTAAATAACAATATTTTTATTTGAAATTTGGAAGAAATTTTTTCAGACCTTTCTAGAATAAAACAAATATTAACATTTCACTCAAACTCGTACCTAGTAAATCCAGAGATTTTCAAGTGGTCTCTTAAATTATTCCATAGCTGTATTTTTATATATATATATATATATATATATATATATATATATATATTTTATCTTCTATTTTTATTTTAAAAAACACCAAATAAAAACACTAGCTTTCTATTTTTTCTATTCTATCTACTTGTTTTTCTTTGTGTGTGTGTGTGTGTGTATATATATATATATATATATACACCTTGCTACGTGTACTGTGTTAGGCTAACCGAGACTTGTCATTTGCACTTATATATTGTTGCTCTTTTGTTAGTTTTGACTGCTTTTATTGTCCTCATTTGTAGGTCGTTTTGGATAAAAGCATCTGCTAAATGACTAAATGTAAATGTATAAATATATATAAAACCATTTAAATTCCAAATAATTCACAAAAAAATAATTCTGACTAATTTATGAATTAGTCTGATTGATCCGCTGAAAAACAACAACTCAGAACTGGCTTGCATCACATAGTGATGTCTGATCTAAAGAAATATTGATATTTTATTTTCATTACAATGTAAAAACATTTTTTTTCCAAAGTAAATAAAACAGATTATTGTATATTTTCTTATTTCAATCTTCTACTTTAAAATGTCATTAATTAATGTTAATTCGATGTTACTTCTTGTTTGTTTTTTTTATACACAGTATATTTGTGAAATTGACTAGCAGGCAGGCTGTCGTACCTTGGCATAGTTGGTGGTTTTGATGAACCACTGCTTAAGCAGCCTCTGCTCCACAGCAGCTCCAGACCTCCACGAGCGACCGCTCTCATCCACCTGCTCATCTGCCAGAACCGTCTGATCCTCAGGGTCCCAGTTCACCAGCGCCTCAAACGCATTCCAACACTTCACTTCAGATATCTCAATGTCATGCATTAGATATAAACACTAAAGCAGGTCGAATCTGCAGATACTGCTGGATCTTTTCTCTTCTAACACTGACTTTTATTGATCGTTTTTGCTAAATGACTTTTGATCACCTGGTGTCAATATGATTTTTACTGGATGTATGGAGTCATTTCTCTTGAAATACACACAGCTGTTCTTGCAGAGGAACCACAGGATCGCTCAAGAAACATTTCTGATTATTATCAATGTTGAAATCAGTTGTGCTGCTGAATATTTTTGAGGAAACTATGATATTTTTTACATTTCAGGATTCTCTGATGAACAGAAGGTTCAAAAAACAGCATTTACTGTACTTAAAATAGAAATATTTTTTGTAAAAAAATATATTTTGTAAAAATATAAATGTCACTTTAGATCAATTTAATACGGAAGTTCTAAGCGGCCATGCATTATTTTTTTTTCCTTCTTATTTTCTCGTTATAACGACTTATTTTCTCGTTATATCAACATAACGAGAGTTGTTTTCTTGTTATAATGACTTAATTTTCTCATTATATCAACATAACGAGAGTTGTTTTCTCGTTATAATGACTTAATTTTCTCGTTATATCGATATAACGAGAGTTGTTTTCTCGTTATAATGACTTAATTTTCTCGTTATATCGATATAACGAGAGTTGTTTTCTCGTTATAATGACTTAATTTTCTCGTTATATCGATATAACGAGAGTTGTTTTCTCGTTATAATGACTTAATTTTCTCGTTATATCGATATAACGAGAGTTGTTTTCTCGTTATAATGACTTAATTTTCTCGTTATATCGATATAACGAGAGTTGTTTTCTCGTTATAATGACTTAATTTTCTCGTTATATCGATATAACGAGAGTTGTTTTCTCGTTATAATGACTTAATTTTCTCGTTATATCGATATAACGAGAGTTGTTTTCTCGTTATAATGACTTAATTTTCTCGTTATATCGATATAACGAGAGTTGTTTTCTCGTTATAATGACTTAATTTTCTCGTTATATCGATATAACGAGAGTTGTTTTCTCGTTATAATGACTTAATTTTCTCGTTATATCGATATAACGAGAGTTGTTTTCTCGTTATAATGACTTAATTTTCTCGTTATATCGATATAACGAGAGTTGTTTTCTCGTTATAATGACTTAATTTTCTCGTTATATCGATATAACGAGAGTTGTTTTCTCGTTATAATGACTTAATTTTCTCGTTATATCGATATAACGAGAGTTGTTTTCTCGTTATAATGACTTAATTTTCTCGTTATATCGATATAACGAGAGTTGTTTTCTCGTTATAATGACTTAATTTTCTCGTTATATCGATATAACGAGAGTTGTTTTCTCGTTATAATGACTTAATTTTCTCGTTATATCGATATAACGAGAGTTGTTTTCTCGTTATAATGACTTAATTTTCTCGTTATATCGATATAACGAGAGTTGTTTTCTCGTTATAATGACTTAATTTTCTCGTTATATCGATATAACGAGAGTTGTTTTCTCGTTATAATGACTTAATTTTCTCGTTATATCGATATAACGAGAGTTGTTTTCTCGTTATAATGACTTAATTTTCTCGTTATATCGATATAACGAGAGTTGTTTTCTCGTTATAATGACTTAATTTTCTCGTTATATCGATATAACGAGAGTTGTTTTCTCGTTATAATGACTTAATTTTCTCGTTATATCGATATAACGAGAGTTGTTTTCTCGTTATAATGACTTAATTTTCTCGTTATATCGATATAACGAGAGTTGTTTTCTCGTTATAATGACTTAATTTTCTCGTTATATCGATATAACGAGAGTTGTTTTCTCGTTATAATGACTTAATTTTCTCGTTATATCGATATAACGAGAGTTGTTTTCTCGTTATAATGACTTAATTTTCTCGTTATATCGATATAACGAGAGTTGTTTTCTCGTTATAATGACTTAATTTTCTCGTTATATCGATATAACGAGAGTTGTTTTCTCGTTATAATGACTTAATTTTCTCGTTATATCGATATAACGAGAGTTGTTTTCTCGTTATAATGACTTAATTTTCTCGTTATATCGATATAACGAGAGTTGTTTTCTCGTTATAATGACTTAATTTTCTCGTTATATCGATATAACGAGAGTTGTTTTCTCGTTATAATGACTTAATTTTCTCGTTATATCGATATAACGAGAGTTGTTTTCTCGTTATAATGACTTAATTTTCTCGTTATATCGATATAACGAGAGTTGTTTTCTCGTTATAATGACTTAATTTTCTCGTTATATCGATATAACGAGAGTTGTTTTCTCGTTATAATGACTTAATTTTCTCGTTATATCGATATAACGAGAGTTGTTTTCTCGTTATAATGACTTAATTTTCTCGTTATATCGATATAACGAGAAAATTAAGTCGTTATAACGAGAAAACAAGAAGGAAAAAAAATAATAATGCATGGCCACTTAGAACTTCCGTAATTTAATGCATCCTTGCTCGATAAATTTTGAATTAAACTTTTTTTTCCTTAAACATAACTTCTATTATTATTATTGTTGTTGTAAGAATATCAGATGATCTTTTGAAGTTAACTTATCTTTCATCAGTAGATGTGAAAAACTGATAAATATGACGATGATGTTCTCACCTCTTTCTGATAGGCCAGTCCAGCCTCAAACAGCTTGATGAACAGATACTGAGTCCACTTATAATAATCGGGCAGACATGTAGTGACCTCCTGACAAAAGATTAGACAAGACCACGTTTAAATGAAAGAAGGCAAATTTGACTTTAAAACATAAATGTCTGAAATATCCAATCCATCAGTGACACACATACAGGGTTAAACAATAAAGATAGTACACATACTTTTCTAACACAAACAGTACTTCTAAAAGTAAAATGTATCATTTTGTTTCAGAGTTGGTGTTACCTGTAATGTACTGTACTATACCTGGATGAATCATAAAACATTTTTGGATCTAAATGGTAAAATGCTTGAAATGAGTCTTATTGGAAGTTATAAATTATGCATATTTAATAAAGCAATAAGCCCTAAGAAGCCGTGGTTTACAGTGAATTTATAACAGCTAAGGGGCGTTGTTAGGCACCATGCGAAGCGGAGTGTCTAAAACCCCCTTAGCGGTCATAAATTCACTGTAAACCACGGCTTCACGGGGCTTATTGCTTTTATAAAACGGTTATTCCATATACGTAGTAAGGTTTCACAAAATAAAACAGAGCAAATAAAGTGTAATGATATTAATAAAAACAGTATTCTTCCACCAAACAACGTAGCTCCTCAGAAACAGTTGTGGTTCCAACAATTTTTTTGCCGAGCAACAGACAAACATAAACAAAGGTATATATTTAGTAATTTACAACAGCTTCGAACGCGGCTCAGCCAATCAGAATCAAGGACCGGAACTCTCCGTTTTATAAGAATGTATTTACAAAACGCATTTATTTACTTCGAATATCCAGAGTTTTGGATCGTTAAAAACTTTAACCCTATAAAGCCTACTGTGCCATATTTGATACACAATTTCTAAGGCCTGTAAATTATGGACCTGATCAAAACTTTGCTGAAAAATCTACTACAGTACATGCCTTCTGTGTTTATACGTTTTAGCAAGTAAAAGTGTCTTTCCGAGGTGAAATCTTTACTTGTTTGTGATTTTTATAAAGTAAACGTAATAGCTTTGATATTGTTAGTAATATTTCAAGATGAACACTTACTGGACCGAAGCAGCTCGGCATCATTTTATAGAAAAATCATGTTCAAATGTGAGTCTCAAATATGATATGATGAACGTTCGTGTGTTCATCTCTCAATCACCATTACATTGCATTATATGTTTTGATCATTTAAATCTCATCTTACTAAGACACATTATTGGCAGATATCGAGTGATGACTAATACTTATATATAATATTTTATGTAACTATCTGCTGTATTGTTGTTGCAAAGATCTCACTGATTTACATTAGAAGCATCAGAAATTCATCTTACTTTCTGGTCAAATGAATATCAGCATCTGCACCAAATTGCATATTTTTGCTCAGTTTGGGCCTCACTTTCTCACTAAATCATACTGCATGAGCCATAAAAGCTCAGTGTATCTAATATGATACTCGACAAAAACATCCAATTGATTGTTTTACGTTTCATCTAGAAATATTTCAATATAGATCAATCAATCAATTTCAGCTTCAACTGTTTTGATATGTCAGGCTTTACAGGTTTAATTTCCATACTTCCTTTTTTGTTAGTCTCAATGGCTTTCCAATTATTGTTAAATTTGGAAAATAGTAAAAATAATTATGTATGTACAAAACTTTGGCTGGTAGTGTCACAAAACATTACAAAACCGGGCAATTAAAAGGAGGTACGCTGAGTACCGCAGCCTCCATGAAAGACTGGACACTCCTAAAGCTGTCCGAACAGCCCAGCATTTGGGCCAGAGGTGTGAAATGTCCACTCTGACCATCAGCTCTCCATCAGTCTGGTCTCTATGGTAATGTGGCTAAACTGAAGGCAGTCTTGAGTAAAAGGCCTCAGACAGCCAGACCCTGAGTTTGTAGCACTTAACGAACACTGAGAGCATGAAGAAGATCTTCTCTGATCCAATTAGGCAAAACTGAACTCCAAGTGGCACGTCTGGCACAAGCCCAGAGCTGCTCATCAGCTGGATATTACCACAGCTGCAGTCCAACACCATCCTGCTGCCAGAGATGACAGAAACATGGCCAGGACACACACAGCACCGACTAAAAGCCTCCTTAAAATCACTCTGGGTTAAAATAGCAACAGACAGGAGAGATTTTTTTTAAGTTCTAGTAAACTATTTTTTTTATTTATTTTGTCAAAAAGAGTGCTTTGTGTCAATTTATGAAAAAATGTATTCAATCAATTTTGAAATAAGTCTATAATAAAAAGGTCCCCAGTAACTTTTAAAGGCTCTTCAATCAAGCAAACTAATAATTCTCTCGGTTACCTCAATAATCAGTCTAGAGAAATAAAATGATTTACATGATTAAACTAACTGAAATTTTAATCACTCGTTAGCTATTTTTAAAATTTAGCTTTTATGCATTGCTTTTCAAAAGTTTGGGTTTGTATGATTTTTATTTATTTTTTTATAAGAAAGAAAAAAAATAATATTTTAGGGATGCACGATATTGGATTTTTGCCGATATCCGATATGCCGATAATTTTCAACACATTTTGGCCGATAGCCGATACCGATATATAATTATTTTTCATTTTGGTTAGTTTTTAACAAGAACTTATTTGTTAGAATCAAATAAACAATTATGAAGTTCTTTTATAATGACAGTACATTAAAGATTTGAAAATAACTATAAATAAACTATATATTAATCACTGCATTTTTTTTTTTCAAAAAGATGCCGTGGTAACCTTAACATTTTATTTTATGATTTAACATTTGTAGATGGTCTAAAGCAAAAGAGTTGCATCGATTACTGCTTTATTTAATCAGAAACACAGTCTAAATATTATTTGTGTATTTAGCTTTCATTTTTTAGAAGTAGGCCAACAGCGCCCCCTACGGAATTAAAACTCCTTACTGCGCAGGCTTTAGGACCCGGGGGAGGCTGCCGCTTCGCGTGCTATTACTGCTTACCCTATCATACATCAAACACATCATTCTGTACCTGCATTCTCAGTTTAAATGCAGAGATACAAAACAGTGAATCCAATAACCATTCAGGCAAAATTTTGCTTCAAGAATGAGACACAATGCTGGCGTGATCTAATCGCACTGTTGACGTGATCTAATCTGAGCACATGTGAGTTAATGTATTCTTCTTATCGGCGAGACATATCAGCATAATTTTTCATATCGGGCCGATGCCGATATTTACATTTAAAGCCATTATCGGCCGTTTCCGATATTGGTCCGATAATATCTTGCAGCCCTATTTTTATTCAGCAACGATGCATTCAATTGATATAAAGTGTCAGTAAAGACATTTATAATGTTACAAAATGTTACCAAATTTTTTTTTCAAATAAATGCTGTTTCTAGTCACCAAATAATCCTAAAAAATTACATAATGGTTTACACAAAAATAAGAAGCCGGAAATTCAGAATGATTTCTGAAGGATCATGTGACACTGAAGACTGGAGTAATGATGCTGAAAATACAGCTTTGATCAATAAATTACATTTTACTATACATTCACAAAGAAAACAGTTATTTTAAATTGCAATAATATTTCACAATATTTATGTTTTACTGTATCTTTGATCAAACAAATGCAGTCTTAGTGAGCAGAAAGGCTTCTTTTCCCCAAAAAATTTGACCAACCCCAAAACTTTTTTTACTTTTGAACAGTAGTTTATATTTCCAGCATGAATTTTTTAGTTCAGCAATCCTCTCCACATTGCATTATGGTCAATATAGTGTCGGTGAGTGTACATGGATTGTAAATCAGAGTGCACTATTGGCATAAAGGAGTGGAAATTTCCACAATTTCCATGCCTTTTTCATATTTTCCATTACCTTAGGAAACTGATTTAAAACAATGGTTTAAAGAAATGAGTGACCTTATTATCTTTGTTCTGTTGTAACTATTTTAAGAAAGCAATAATCACAGCTGTGCTGTACTGTCTGCTGCAATGCCCTTTGATGCAGAAACTCTTTAACTCAAGCAGTGTGTCTCTGAGGAAAAACCTCTGGCACCAAGTCTGAGATAAGAAAGTATACTGATGCAATGATGCAAGACACCGAAGTTAAGATCAGGTCCCCCATCTGTTGAATGCAGGCTCTCACTCACCCGATCCCAATTAAAGCAGAGCCCCAGACTGTCCAGCTGCTTCCGCATGGACTCAATATTACTGTAAGACACAGAGAGAGGCGTGCGGGATAATTAGATTGGATCGTTATGTGTGTGTAGTTGCGAGTGTTTGGATAAGCATCGAGCGTCCCTCGGCTCCGCACCTTTTGGTCCAGTCCTCTGGGTCCAGGCCTCGTTCGATGGCGGCGTTCTCAGCCGGCAGACCAAACGCATCCCAGCCCATCGGGTTCAACACCTGCAAGACAAACAACATCGAGCTGTTAGTAACGTCAAACCCCAAGGGTCTTCTTTCCTAATCTGCCACAACCGACAGTGTGAATCCAGCTTATAGGAATAGTTCACCCAAAATGAAAACTTGCTGAAAATGTGCTTTACTCACTCTCAGGTCATCCAAGATGTAGATGAGTTTGTTTCTTCATAGTAACAGATTTAGAGAAATGTAGCATTGCATCACTTGCTCACCGATGGATGCTCTGCAGTGAATGGGTGCCGTCAAAATGAGAGTCCAAACAGCTGATAAAAACATCATGTAATTCATGCTTGCAAGAAACAAATCCATCATTAAGACGTTTTTAACTTAAAAGTGTTGCTTCTGGCCAAAATATGACTCCATAATGCATAATAACACTTCCTCCAGAGTAAAAGTCCATCTCCTGTTGTCTCTCACATCAAAATTGTTTAGTACTGTTTTGGCTTGTAAACAGTGCGCAGATTTCTCTCCTGATTCAAGGAAGCGTTATTATGGATGTATAAGCAATGATTTGAAGTTATAAACGTCTTCATGATGGATTTGATTCTTACAAACGTGCAGCTTTTGTCTTCTCCAGATGTTAACTGATGGACTGGAGTGGTGTGGATTACTTGTGGATTATTGTGATGTTTTTATCAGCTGTTTGGACTCTCATTCTGACGGCACCCATTCACTGCAGAGTGAGCAAGTGATGCAATGCTACATTTCTCCAAATCTGATGAAGAAACAAACTCATCTACTTATCGTGTGGCCTGAGGGTGAGTAAATATTCAGCAAATTTTCATATTTGGTTGAACTTTTCCTTTAATGTGATGCTTATTTGTCAGTCATACATAAATGAATGATTCTTATTCTGTTTCTTATGTATGGCTGACTGATTATGTTAAAACTGTAATCCAAATGGATGTACATCTTATATGCAATTCAACTACATAAATCTTGATCAAACTAAGTGCGTGACATACTACACTCTTAAAAATAAAGGTGCTTCACGATGCCATAGAAGAACCTTTTTGTCTAAATGGTTCCATAAAGAACTTTTAACATCTGAAGAACCTTTCTGTTTCACAAAAGGTTCTTTGTGGTGAAAGAAGGTTCTTCAGATTACAAAAAGGTAAGAAAGAGATGGTTCTTTAAAGAACCTTTGACTGAATGGTTCTTTGTGGAACCAAAAATGGTTCTTCTATGGCATCGCTTGAAGAACCTTTTGAAGCACCTTTATTTTTAAGAGTGCACTGCTCAAAGAGATGTGCACTCAGATGTGACTAATGAAACGCATGCAGTCGTCATAAAGACTGTAGTGTTTAATGGAGAATTCAAATGGAGAGCATGAACTCTCTGAAAGCATCGTCTATATTTCAGACTAATGTGGAGTCGTGCCGTTGTGCCCTCATCAGCACAGATGATCACACAGATATAATAACATCTCTATCTGGCTTTTTCTTTCTCTTTCTCTCTTTCTTTCTCCTTTACTGAGCATCTGTTTATGCTAAGGGAGAGAGGAAAAACAGCAAATCAGAAATAAATACACAGATTAAAGAAAGATTAAATGTATAGTTCAGTAAAAAAAACAAAAACATACAACGTGTGCACTATATTCCAAGTCTTCTGAAGTCACATAAAAGCTCTGTGTGAGAAATCAACTGAAATGTTGCAGGCATGTGATCAGCTAAAGACCAAAAAGAGGAAAAAATTTAGTTTTTCCCATTCAGCATGACTATATAACAATAATAATACAATTTAATAATAATAATAATAATAATAATAATAATAATAAACAATAAATAATTATTAATATTATTTTCATAATTATATTAAATGTATTATTTTTTATTATAATTTGAATTAGAAATAATAATTAAAAGAAATAATAATAATTAAAGAAATCAACAAAATAATATATTAGTATTGTACTATAAAATAAAACAATAATATTATTATCATTATTAAAATAATTTACATTATAATAATTAAACAAATCGATAAAATGTATTAACTTTCTCTGAGAAATAAATAACCATAATAATAATATTTATTTATTTATCATTTAAATTATAATTCTTAATGAAACCAAAGTAATATACAGTATATCTATTGTGCTGTAAAATAAAAAAGTAATAATAATAATAAAAGAAAACATGGAAATCTGTAACATGGAAAAAACTCATCCCTGAAGCTGCTTTTCACACATTTTTAATGAATATTGAAAAAGCTGCACTGTAAAAAAAAAAATTCAGTAAAATTTACGGTAAAAAAACGGAAGCTGTGGTTGCCGGAATTTTACCGTAAAAAATACGGTAGCAACGAAGTTAATAAAATTAAAGTTAATACATTTATTTTAAGCAAAAAAATGCATATATTTGAATGGTTTTAGTTTAGTTTTACTAATGATAATAAGTTGTGTGCAGTCTACATAAAGGTACAAAACTGAAGTGGATATTACGGAGGTATTTTGTGAGATGGCCAGGAGATAAAAGCTTTTCTATTGTCAAATGTAAATGGCGTAGATGGTTATAGAAGCAAAAGCAGTAGAATAAAGCAGCAGATTGTGCAATAGTTGTATAACACTTCCTCCATCTGCAGCATGACTGACCCATCCATGAAACAAACAGAAGAAATTCATTCTGAACCAAAGCCAAGCATCTCCATGTTTCAACAGGTCTACGTTCTTGAGAATCCACGGTTAAACTTCTTCTCTCAGTGTGTGTGTGTGTCTGTCTGTCTGTGTCTCTGTGTGTGTGTGTGTCTGTCTGTCTCTCTGTGTGTGTGTGTGTGTGTGTCTGTCTCTCTGTGTGTGTGTGTGTGTGTGTCTGTCTCTCTGTGTGTGTGTGTGTGTGTGTCTGTCTCTCTGTGTGTGTGTGTGTGTGTGTCTGTCTCTCTGTGTGTGTGTGTGTGTGTGTCTGTCTCTCTGTGTGTGTGTGTGTGTGTGTCTGTCTCTCTGTGTGTGTGTGTGTGTGTGTCTGTCTCTCTGTGTGTGTGTGTGTGTGTGTCTGTCTCTCTGTGTGTGTGTGTGTGTGTGTCTGTCTCTCTGTGTGTGTGTGTGTGTGTGTCTGTCTCTCTGTGTGTGTGTGTGTGTGTGTCTGTCTCTCTGTGTGTGTGTGTGTGTGTGTCTGTCTCTCTGTGTGTGTGTGTGTGTGTGTCTGTCTCTCTGTGTGTGTGTGTGTGTGTGTCTGTCTCTCTGTGTGTGTGTGTGTGTGTGTCTGTCTCTCTGTGTGTGTGTGTGTGTGTGTCTGTCTCTCTGTGTGTGTGTGTGTGTGTGTCTGTCTCTCTGTGTGTGTGTGTGTGTGTGTCTGTCTCTCTGTGTGTGTGTGTGTGTGTGTCTGTCTCTCTGTGTGTGTGTGTGTGTGTGTCTGTCTCTCTGTGTGTGTGTGTGTGTGTGTCTGTCTCTCTGTGTGTGTGTGTGTGTGTGTCTGTCTCTCTGTGTGTGTGTGTGTGTGTGTCTGTCTCTCTGTGTGTGTGTGTGTGTGTGTGTGTGAGTGAGTGAGTGTGCGTGCGTGTTTGTCTGAGCATGTGCACGAGTGAACACAGTAAAAAAAATTTTTTACAAAAACATGGAGAAAACAAAGCCATTAACAGAGCTGTCAAACACAAGTGTCAATCACAGCCATGAAAATGCATCCTTGTCTATATAGTTTTTGTTCTAACACTCCTGCTCCAGACAGCTGAGAGGACTGATGACTGCAAAACATCTGCTAAAAGAGCACAGCGTCACCACATAATGCATAAAAACCAGCCACACTCACACTTTCGACACTCTACAGCATGTGTTAAAAACATCAATTGAACACATTATAACACAAATTATAATAAACCAATATGTAGTCTATGTATACAGTCTATTTCACTTTGATGCAGCATTTTAAAGTTTTTAAACATTTTTTTTTTCTTACAGGATATGGATTTGCAGGTCAGATTTCACCAAACCTGAACTCTAGAAATGCAGTGAAATGCGGCGAAGCTTTATTGCACGAGCCTGTGTTTCCGTTCTCCCGCATCCGCATGCTCTTGAGTTGAAGTGCAACCACACCAACCACATCTTTCACTGATCAATAAATGCCTACCAGTAAAGGATCTAAACATCACAGAATAAGCCTTGGCTAAAAGGAGGAAACTCTCATGTTGGTGGTTTGGCATCATTGCAATGCTAAAACTGGAATTAAAAATGTGTGCATGATCTACTTGGCAACTGGAAAATTATGAATTATGAATTACATTACCTTTTACAATTAATATAACTATTATTTGATCACTATCATGTTGCTCTTGTCACTGTTTTATAAAAAAAACGCAAAAGCATTACTGTGCATTACTGTGATTTTAACGTGGTACAGAGGGAGGGAGGCACAAACATCTAGCTTTATTTAAACATTTTCAGTTTAGATTCAATGTATTGTATATTAAATTGCATCTCAAAACTATGAAAAAAATGTTATGGATTTATATAGCCATGACACGCAAAACATTGTGATCTAAGCTAAACAAAACTAAACTAAACTAAACTAAATAAAATTAAATAAAAAACACAACAAAATATAATAAAATACAATAAAATAAAATCAATTCTAAATGTATATAGTCATGACACGCGAAACAGTGTGATAAATAAAATAATAAAACTAAACTAAATTTAAAAAAACAATAATAATGAAATAAAATAAATAAACTAAATAAAAAAACAATAATAATTAAATAAAATAAATTAAAAAAACTATAATAATTAAATAAAATAAATGCCCAGATCGACACTAAAAGTGGATTATGACACCAGAAATAGTACATGTACGTAATCCCAGCATTCCTGATTAAAGTAGATCAACATGCTCTCCATTTGTGCAATGCACTAGAACAAAATAGCATATAATGGAGAGGCAGAAAGAAATACATTTATAAAATGTTACATTTTCCACCTTCTTCAACTTCCGACCGCAGCTCTCTGCAGTGAAGTCACTAAAGATTGGCTAAGACATCGACTGACTAGGCAGTGAGGCAGCAAGGCCTTTTCTTTTACTAGTTCTCTAAACATGTAAGAACAAACATGGGGTAAATTGTAGCTGAAGTCAAAGCTAACATAGTGAGATTAATAGTCGCTCACTCGATCAGTTTGTTTTCAGAGAAGCCTTCGAAACTGAACACTGTCAATTCCAATTCAATCAATAGCAGCACTTCGTCAAGCTCCATTAAATCCTCACACACTTAGTGCTGTGCTTACAACACACACCAGATGCTGCCTGTGCCTTTGAGCAGAGAGAGATTCGTCACGCAGAGGACAGAGATGGATGAGGGGATGATTTAAAGGACATGAGGGAGAGAGAGACTCAAAGACAGAGACAGAGAGACTGGGAAACCGAAAGAGTGAGTGCGTGAAAGAACAAACAGCAAACAATAACACCGAGTAAAACATCTACTGAAGAAAGGACCGACTCAGGGGTGTGCGACACGTATCATCTACAATAATGCATGAAATATAACAAAAGGGCCACAAGTGACCACCAAGACAAATCTAGCAATGTCATAATTATTGTTTTAAAAAATGTGCAAGATGACATTATCAAGTATGTCAAACAAAACAAGATATACAGGGCCAATTTTATATTTATACTAAACGATATAGTCAGGCAATATCACACGAGTTCTGTTATTCCAAAAGTTATGCAAAAGTCATACTGATTTTATAAAATCAGCTAAATAAACAACATTTTGAGTTACAAAATACTGTCAATATTGTATGTTTTTGCTTTTTTCGGTCATAAAAATTTCCAGATGAACCACAGCAGAACCGTTTTTCGTCTGCAAGCAACACATAGCGGTATTTCGTTACTGAATGAATCTGCGTTTTGAACAAATCAGTTTAATGAATGATTCAATGACTGAATGAATCAGCCTTTTGAATGAATTGTTTGAAGTGACACGCTCATTAGGTAATTAAATTTTCACATGTTAATGTATCAATTATTGCTTATTAAATAATTTCATAATAAAATATATATTTTTAAATCTCATAACATTATTCATGCATCTATAAATGCATGGTAAATGCATTCATTCCACCTCTGAGCTGCATTAAACGGTCTGTGTGAATGTATCTAAATGCCACTTCAGATGCAGCTTCAGTGCCACTTCGGCAGTGCAAAGATGGATTTTGTTGATACTAATTTCATTTGATTGGTATTAGACAGATAGTATTTTATTCTTAGCATTTTCAAGAGACGGCTAAAGACACACCTCTTCCATCTACACTCTTACCCTCTAACAATAACACTCTCTATTCTATTTCTATTCTATCTACTTGTTTTATTTTTTTATTTATTAAAAAAGTGACCCTCTAACACTAGCACTCTCTATTCTATATATACTTTTCATTCTTATTATTTAAAAAAAAAAAAACTTTGCTACATGTACTGCTTTAGACTAACCGGGACTTATCACAGCACTTACATATTGTTGATCTTCTTTTGGGTTTTTTATAGCTCCTATCGTCCTCATCTGTAAGTCACTTTGGATAAAAGTGTCTCCTAAATGACCTAAATGTAAATGTAAACCAGCCAACTAGCAGCACAAAAACACACTCAGCAAAATATTGTTAAATTATTGTTATTGAAACAATTCCAGAAAATATCAAAATGTGATTTTTTTTGTCTGTTAATATTTTGACATTATTTTGCTATTTTACGGCACGTTCGTACATATGTGCCTGTGGTGACATTTCTACAAAATGGTATTATGTTGCTTCTTTCACAAATGTCTAGTCTAGGTTAGTCTAGTCTAGCATGTTTAGTTTTATCCAAAACAGATGAACGTGAATCTGGCAACATTTTTTTTTATATGTATCACGGCAGTTTAAAAATTAAATGCCAACACTAAATCTAACCGTGCTAACAAAAACAGTTAGCTAAAGCAACCAGGCCATTCTAGTTTGCTTATAAAAGTCTTTAAGCTTTGAAGTGCACTGCTGTACCGGGTGCGCTACCGAGCAAGTTTACTATATCAGAAAAGCCATACATATAGAGCTGGATATTTGATGCAATTTTCAAAATGTATCAGTTCTGGTGCTGTCAAGCATTAATTGCATCCAAAATAAAAGTTTTTGTTTACAAAATATATGTGTGTGTGTGTACTGTGTATATTTATGATGTACTGTATGTATATATATATATATATATATATATATTGTGACAGGAGTGAGAAGCACCCAATGCAAGGTCAAGTGTGGGACATCAGAGCCAGATCTGATTATGATGGGGCACAGCCGTGCTAACAGGCTGAGAAAGGCCCGGCCTGGACTATCTGACACATCACCTCATCCTCTTATCACCAAATCAACATGTGATGATTATGGACGGATTAATCAAAGATATATTTCTGACTTATGAGAATGGCTCAGACTCCAGACTGTTCAACGCAAACAAACACAAAGTATTGAATGACCCTTGAGCAAGACACATGAATAAATGAATTTGCTAAAAGACTACCTAATAAATTGTTTATTTTTTACCAAAAAAGTAATCCAGCAATTTTTACATTACACCATGTCCAAACCAAACGCAATATGATAAAAGTAATGCTATCAAACGATTAATCGTGATTAATCGCATCCAAAATAAAAGTGTTTGTTTATATAATATATGTGTGTACTGTGTATATTTTTAATGTATATATAAATACACAAACATACATGTATATATTTTTTTAATATTTACATCTATATATTTATATGCAAATATAATTTATATTATATATACATATTCATATTTTATATATAAACAAAACATTTTTCTTAAAGGCACAATATGTAATTTTCGCCGCTAGAGGGCGCGTAGTGTTTCCATGTTTTCTACAAAACAAAACTGGAAATGGAGGGGTTATGACGTCATCAGCAGGCGACACAATGACACTATGGACACGGTCCGTGTCACTAGTTAAAACTGCTTATTTCTCTGGATTTAAACATTCTTCGAAACATTTGGGGTAATCTAAGTACACAAGTCTATAACAACAAAATATATAATACTGTTCTAGTGGTTTTTGGATATTTTAATTAAAAAATCGTACATATTGTGCCTTTAAATACTGTATATACATGCATAATAAGTATACACGGTACACACATATATTATGTAAACAAAAACTTATTTTGCGTGCGATTAATCTTTTGACAGCACTAGATTCACAAATCAAGCACTATGGCAAAAGTGTTTCGAGGTCATCATAACATAATACTCTGATTGAAAATAAGTCTTTATTAACCAATAATTTGTGCCATGATCATAATTTGTGTGAAAAGGAATACAAGTTGTTGGTGTTTTATTACCACTAGTGTTCATTTCAGCTGGAAACGATAGTGTATTGTATGTATAGGTATATAGAGGCATGTTTTCCCAATGAGCCTGTGTTAAAATAAGCATTGCAACATGGTTCTAAATCATATGCTGTATTTCCAGCAACATGCCTCTTCTATATATTACTGTATGTACTGTAACCAAGACATAAAGCGACTCCTGTGGTCGTATCAATTGAGGTCACAACACCCACCCGTATAAAACACACTCCATCAGGATAATGATGTCCACGATGACCTTCCATCTCCTTGTTATAAACTGATGGTATTTTTCAGAAGCATTCTCACCAATCATAACAGCAGTCCTTTGGTGTGGTGAGCTGCAGGCTTTAGAAAGTGCTGTTTTCAAAAGGTGTGAGCACATTCTGAACATACATAACAAACTTTGAGCTCTGATTAAGAGCATATTCACACCATTTCCATTATTTAGACACCTCATAATTAAAACACACGTCATTCCAGCAGACCTTGACTGCAGCTTTTACATTTCTGGGACCGTGTTTTGGTGTGTCTGTGTGTGGGTGGATGAATATAAAAATGAGGCAGGAGAGAGGATAAATCATCATACTATGTGTGTGCTGCTAACAGAGAGCAGTACATTCTGATATTACTGTTTTAAGAGTAAAATTACCTGATGGCCCCTCATCCTCTGGAAATGGCTGATGGTGTCGCTAATGGTGTAAACCCTCACGTGGCCCATGTGCAGCCGACCCGATGGGTACGGGAACATGGAGAGGATGTAGAACTTCTTCCGGGAGCTCTAAACATGGAAAAACAAACAAGTCATTCTGTGTTTCTTCCTTCTTGAAGAATTTCGGCAAGATTTGCCATGCCGTTCTAAACCTGTGTGGCTTTCTTTCTTTTGTGGAACACAAAAGAAGATATTTTGAAATGGTTTTGGGGGCCCATTGACTTCCATAGCATGGACAGAAATACTATGGACGTCAATGGAACCTCAAACAACATTTTTTGGGTGAACTATCCCTTTAAGCTCCATCAATAACATTTTTGGTAAAACATTGATTATCACAAAACATAATGCTTATAGTTTTATAAAGCGCTCACATAAATTCTTCTGATAAAACTTGTGTATTATTTGAGCTGTATTGTACAGTCGAATGTATTTCTCAAAGTTTAATAATTATAATAATAATGATATAAATAATATGATTACAATTTTATTTTTAAGGAATTTTAACAGTAAGCCTCTTTGATGCAGCACTTTGTTTTCCAAGAAATTAAAGGAGTTGTTTTCCTTTGATTTCATTTTAAAAGATGAATTAAATTGTTAATGTTTTATGCCTTTAATTGTTTACCCCCGTTTTTGATAAGAACTTTGTATTAAATCATAAATCCAGAAAAGTTAAAACAGACAACACAACATTTCTGAGAAATTAAACCTTTTATTGTGACAAATTTTAATAAAATATCAAATTGTTTTTTAAATAAAAAAATATATTGATTTAATTGATTAGACAAATTAAACCATTAAAGGGGTCATATGATGCGATTTAAATTTGTCCTTTCTCTTTGGAGTGTTACAAGCTCTTGGTGCATAAAGAAGATCTGTAAAGTTACAAAGACTAAAGTCTCAAATCCAAAGAGATATTCTTTATAAAAGTTAAGAGTCAACCACGCCCCCCTAAAGTGGCTCGTTCTAACACGCCCCCACATGTCTACGTCACGATGTGGGAAGATTTGCATAACGCCGTCCAAATGTTCTCGCAAAGAAAGAAATTGTAACTTTTATTCTCGCTGTAGTATTGTAGTTGCCACCGCCGCCATGTCGTGAAGGCACTGTGTGTTTCGTTTGTTTGGTCTTCCAAAAGAGGACACGACTAGAAATCAGTGGTTAAGTTGTATTTACAACACTGTTCCAGAACACTTCAACCCAAATATTCAGATGTGTGCAGCGCATTTTATGGAGGACTGTTTCCTGATCCTGGGAGAGTAGACTACAATGCCGGCTGTTCTGACTCACAGACTGTAAGTATGTTTTTTATATTTAAAGAATTTGCCACTGATGATTCAAACGTGAGTTTTGAGCAGTGTAGAGTAGCGCTTGTTGTTTGTCATTTCTCCGATCACAAATGCAGACATGGTTTTATGTTTACGCGGCGCAATGCAATGCAACACGTAAAAAGACAATATAAGTCATTATAATCAGTAATTATGTCCCCACTGGATGCAACAAATGCCTCGTTTATAATGGGTTTTAATGTGTTTGTCTCGTTGCTCCGGCCGGGACACGGCATCATCACAGTATGGTAATGGGTGTAACATTTCCGTCACACGCTTGAGGTATTCGACCAATCACAACGCACTGGATAGCTGGCCAATCACAGCACACCTCGCTTTTCAGATCGATGAGCTTTGTAAAAATCGACGCGTTTCAGAAAGGTGGGGCATAGAGGAGAAACAAAAATGTACAGTATGTGGAAAATAATGTTTTTTTTACCTTAAACACATTTCATTACACCAAATACACAAAATAATGTTCTTTTTAGCAACATCATATGACCCCTTTAAAACAAAATCCAGAAAAAATGAAAAACACAGAATTAAATCTAATTTGGGACAAAATAGAACAGATTTCATAGGGCTCTATTTTTTATTTATTTAAATAAATTGTTGTTAAATTGTATAAGTTCCACTATTTAAATTAATTAAACATGCTTTCTGATTTTAACCATTAAAATGGAATACAGATCAATTAAAACTTCATTAAAAAAAAACAAATTTAGGAAAGACAAAAACAACTTTGGAATTTTTGATATATACCATGGTGTACATGATAATTATATTCATCTGCTACAATATATTTACATGATAATCCATTCATAGAACATGTCCAAAACATGCAATGGTACTTTTGGTATGTTGGTTACTGTAATAATATTCATGCCAGATTGTCTTGGTCAAATACAAGCAATCTCGTCTAGTGTAGTGGAAACTTGAGGTTACAACTCAGTATCATCAGGTAGCAGCAGAGTCCTAATATGAGGCCTTCACATGACTCGTTTAAGCGCAGGCTGCTGACCTGCGAGACCCGCTAAGGCTCATACATTCAGTCACACTCTCCGCGGCAGTTTTAATGATTCATGACGGCTTTGAAGAAGCGCGCCGCACTGGGCAAGCATTAATCAGTGCAGGTCAAAAAGGCCTGAATTATTCAGCAGCTGAAAGAGACAGAGACCCATTTTGGGAGAGAATACAACTCCACTGCATCTCTCGAGAAGCTTTTCCCTTTATCCTGTGAATCAGTCTTCAGGTGGGTGTATCTGGGAACTCTGATAAATTTGGTGCATAAACAATTGAGGTCAGTTTTCAGAGTATCGACCCCACTGAAATCTATTCAGAGCACAAGAGAAGCATATTTGTTTTCTATGAAAAGCACAGTGACTGTACAAGAGACCCTTTGTGTGGTGAGAACATGTGAAAATTAACAGTGTGAGAAAACAATAGGAAGAACTGCTGATGGAAAACAAAGCAGATGGAGCAGGACTGCAGCGCACATGTCTGAGGAACGAAAGCAAAAGGTGTTAAATGTTCTCGGCTCAGGGTCAGACTATTTTTAGAAGCCCTGCCATCAACACCACAGGCATACCACAGCAGAAACCCATCTGATTTTGAGGGTGTTCGCCAAATCGCTTTAAAGGAAATATTTCAACAAAAAATACATTAAAGGAACAAATTACCCCAAAATTTTCCATCCAAGATGTTTGTTTCTTCATCAGAACAGATTTGGAGAAATGTTACTTTGCATCGCTCACCAGTGGATGCTCTGCAGTGAATGGGTGCCGTCAGAATGAGAGTCCAAACAGCTGATAAAAACATCACAAGTAACCCACACCACTCCAGTCCATCAGTTAACATCTTGTGAAACAAGAAGCTGTGTGTTTGTTTTGTCAAGGTCAATATAATAAGTAATATTTATTTTAAAAATTTTACCTTTTCATGACAAGGCTTAATTCAGGTTGGGAAAATGTATGATTGACTTATGAATTAATAATTCACGATATCTGTAAAAACCTTGAATAATATATTTAAATAAATTTTTAACAATAATTAAGACAATTAAGATTAAAGTGTAAGGAAAATATGTTTGTTTGTTTTATTTCATGGTTACACCACATGACATTTTAATACACTGAAACTTTTCTTGAAATTGAAGTAAAAGTTTTTCAAAACAATAAGAAACTAACATTAATACAAAGAATAAATTTCTAACTCTATTAACTTGGCAAGTGTATTAAACAACATCTGTCCTTTATCACCGACATTCAAGGTATATTTTGGAATAAACATTACATATTACTTTTAACTAACAGGGTCTTGGGGCAAATATGAACAAAGACGCCTCCAAAATTTAAAGGGGGCCAAAAAAAAAATCATAATATTACAACTAGGGCTGTCAGTCGATTAACATTTTTAATATAATTAATTACATGATGTTTCGATTAATTAATCTAATTAATCGCAAAATAATTTTGTGAAAATAGCCACAAAAGATTATTTAAAGCTATTTTCGTGTTAAATGAGATTTTCCATCCAAGATGTTTGTTTCTTCATCAGAACAGATTTGGAGAAATGTTACTTTGCATCGCTCACCAGTGGATGCTCTGCAGTGAATGGGTGCCGTCAGAATGAGAGTCCAAACAGCTGATAAAAACATCACAAGTAACCCACAACACTCCAGTCTATCAGTTAACATCTTGTGAAACAAAAAGCTGTGTGTTTGTTTTGTCAAGGTAATATAATAAGTAATATTTATTTTAAAAATTTTACCTTTTCATGACAAGGCTTAATTCAGGTTGGGAAAATGTATGATTGACTTATGAATTAATAATTCACGATATCTGTAAAAACCTTGAATAATATATTTAAATAAATTTTTAACAATAATTAAGACAATTAAGATTAAAGTGTAAGGAAAATATGTTTGTTTGTTTTATTTCATGGTTACACCACATGACATTTTAATACACTGAAACTTTTCTTGAAATTGAAGTAAAAGTTTTTCAAAACAATAAGAAACTAACATTAATACAAAGAATAAATTTCTAACTCTATTAACTTGGCAAGTGTATTAAACAACATCTGTCCTTTATCACCGACATTCAAGGTATATTTTGGAATAAACATTACATATTACTTTTAACTAACAGGGTCTTGGGGCAAATATGAACAAAGACGCCTCCAAAATTTAAAGGGGGCCAAAAAAAAAATCATAATATTACAACTAGGGCTGTCAGTCGATTAACATTTTTAATATAATTAATTACATGATGTTTCGATTAATTAATCTAATTAATCGCAAAATAATTTTGTGAAAATAGCCACAAAAGATTATTTAAAGCTATTTTCGTGTTAAATGAGAAAGTATCAAGTAAACATTACAAATTGTAGCTTTAGAAATATTTTATTTGATTCAACATAAAATTTATTACACATAAACATTTAGGCTACAGCGGCCTAACATAAACTATCTATGGAACATAAAAAAAGATAATTTAAGAAACATCTCAGCATTTTTTGTTCATACAATGAAAGTCATTGCTAATCAAAACAGCTTTGTTACCAAAAGTCTTCAAAATACCTTATTTTATGTTCCACAAAACAAAGTAAGTCATTCAGGTTTGAGTAAAAGATGACAGAATTAAAAAATTTTGGGTGAACTATCCCTTTAATGTTTTTATTATTATTATTTTTTTTTTTAATTAAATGATACTCTAAATAAGAAACTAATCTGCCAGCAGGTGGCGGTAAATGTCTTTATGAGTCATTCATTGAAACGGCTGATTCATTCAGGAATGAAGTAAACGGCTCGGCCTTTGAATCATTGATTCACACGATTCGTTCAAAACGCGGATTCATTCAGAAACTAAACAACACTGTGCTACTCGGAGTCGCACAACAATTCTGCTATGGCTTTAAAGGTAATATGTTCTCTGCAAAACTGAGCAAAAACATAATATTGTGTTTAAAATATAACAACATTAACTTCTTATTTACTGAACTATTGTATAAAACCACATTTAAACTTGTGATATTCAGGACAGAAACAGCACTCATCTGATATTGCTCTCGCTGCTCGTGTGATATTGCTTTTTGTTACCAAAAGTCTTCAAAATACCTTATTTTATGTTCCACAAAACAAAGTAAGTCATTCAGGTTTGAGTAAAAGATGACAGAATTAAAAAATTTTGGGTGAACTATCCCTTTAATGTTTTTATTATTATTATTTTTTTTTTTAATTAAATGATACTCTAAATAAGAAACTAATCTGCCAGCAGGTGGCGGTAAATGTCTTTATGAGTCATTCATTGAAACGGCTGATTCATTCAGGAATGAAGTAAACGGCTCGGCCTTTGAATCATTGATTCACACGGTTAGTTCAAAACGCGGATTCATTCAGAAACTAAACAACACTGTGCTACTCGGAGACGCAAAACAATTCTGCTATGGCTTTAAAGGTAATATGTTCTCTGCAAAACTGAGCAAAAACATAATATTGTGTTTAAAATATAACAACATTAACTTCTTATTTACTGAACTATTGTATAAAACCACATTTAAACTTGTGATATTCAGGACAGAAACAGCACTCATCTGATATTGCTCTCGCTGCTCGTGTGATATTGCTTATCATATGATATAAATATGAGACAAAAACTTATACAGGGGCATTTTTTACCCCAATATCTTGCGTTTTAGGACATAACTGCATTTATGGAGTTGTTGCCCTGCATCATATTTGTCAACAGTCAACTGTATGAAATGTAAGATGACGTACAGATTTGGGGACGGGACCAGTGCGTTAACTGGTTAAAATATTTTAATTGCGTTATTTTTTCATAACTAATTAATTAAGATTAGTGGTCGACCGATATATCGCCAAGGCCGATATATGGGCCGATATTTGGCATTTTTCAAATATCGGCATCGGCCGATAAGTTTTTCCGGTTTGGCCAATGCTTTCGAGGCGGGACTTTTTATTTTGACGGCGCGACAGCAGCGTCTGAGCACACAGTGCTCACATTCTCCCTCTTGTTCGTTGTCGTAGTTAACAGTTATGTCTAATACGGATAGAAGTCTGTCTAATAATCAGATAGAATGGTTAAACAAAGGAATTAAAATATATACAAAAAAGTATTATAACGATTGCTTTTATATTATTAGTAATAGAAAAGCAAACATTATAATACCGTCTCGTTTGCCGTCAGCATTCAGCAAATACGCATTTATATCATTTGAACAAATCTTTGAATGTCTATTAATTAACATTTTATTTCACAAACCTTGCAAACTTGGTCGAATCCAGTTGAGATCTTGTGAAGTGTGTATGTGTATCCTGCATGATCGCGTGTTCTCCGTGTGAAGGTCAGTCCGTGCGAATAGAATGCGGACAGGAGGAGAGTTCAGCCTCACTGGATATGCGCGATCGACAAAATTTTAACTCGTGATTTCAAATTATGCTGCGCTTTATCCATTTACCCACCGTCATATTCATGTCATTTTCACTGTGTGCTGTGTGTAAAATGACTGTTACCTTGGCTTTATTTGAAAAAATATGATTCCCAATGCACACAAACTTCCCAGATTACTTAGTGCCCTGTTAGTTACAATGTTGACTTTTTATTAAATATTTATTTATTTGTGAAAAATGCATTCTCATCTAAAGTATAAGTATGTTTATTTTACACATTTATTTTTAAATCCATTTTCAAATGATTTCAAATTTCTTAAATATTCATTAAAATAAATAAAATTATATCGGCTTTATATCGGCCACACTGCTATCCAAGATATCGGCATCGGCTGTCAAAAAACCAATATCGGTCGACCACTAATTAAGATAATGCGTTAAACTGACAGCCCTAATTGCAACCCTAGTACCCTGAAATGATTCCATGTTTTTTTTTTATATATACAGTATATATAGGCAATTTACATTATGCGATTGTTGTGTAAATACATGTTTGCCACCTTCGAGCAGCATTAAACAGTCTGTGTAGCTTCTGTTCCACGTTTGCAGTATAAAGATGACTTTTGTTGATGTTGGTACAATTTTATTGGTGACAGTCTGTCGTATTCTGGTTGAATGAAATGTTGGATAAATTGAAGTATTTGACATACAAGACAGCACAGGTAATTATAAAAACTGCTCCTAGAAAGGTAAGAAAATCCAGATGGTAAATATTGCCATTAAATATTAAATAATTTTTTTTTATTTCTGATCCTGCTTACAATCAATGACAACAGTCGACAGTTTCATATTTTCTTGCCATTTCTGATTCAATTACGCCATTCACAATGTTGATAAGCAATCCATTCCCTTGTAAATTAATTTAAGCACAGTCTTGTACTTTTGTCTTTTCGTTTCAAATACTTTTTGCTTCAAGTCAAATGTTCTAATGTTACTGATATTAAATTAAATTGCTTGCAATTTGATTCATCTCTGGGCTGGTTGGTTGTTTGGATAAAATCTGATCCAACTGAGATTTCAGTCTCTGAATGATTCTATTAATAAATGCAGCTCCAGCAAACACATGAAGTGAGAGACGTGATGGAGAGACACGTCCTGATAGCAGACCACTCTCTCCTACATAACACAACAACAAGGCTTAAAAGCCAACCAACAAACACCAACAAAACGCTTCAGAGGCCAGACGTCTCTTTTCTCACACATGCAAAGGTTTTCCTCGGTGAGGTGGAAGGGATTCTTTGAATGAAAATCTCAAGGGAGAGACACTTCAAAGTAAAACACAGCATACTGTAACTGCACAGGCTGCAGGGAGAAAACACCCTTTTAATGCATTTCCACATTGCTCTTGTTCATTCAAAGACAGTTCATACTGATAACGTCTGTCAAGAAACACTAGAAGTGCTTCATAAAATTGGTCCATGTGACAGGCCCATGTCACCCACATTGAAAAAAATCTATATTTTTGCTGCTTGTTCATCTTATTTTACTTAACTAAAGCAAATTGCTAAAGATTTGATTTCATTGTGTTCAGTCCACTTCTCATATGTGAGTTTAATCCATTTGTGTTAGGACTTCATGAATAATTTTTATTGCATTCACTGAAACTGCATGGGTGGATTTTTAGTTCCCGGCGTTATTTGTAGAGGCCTGAATCGGGAGATTAAATGTTGAAATTAAGGGTTATTTTATGTACTTGTGAGTGAAAGGAAAAGACATGTTAGTGTTTTATGTTTATGTTGAAGTGGTTAGGTTGTGGGACGGTTGACTATGCTTCATGCACTCGTGGGAAGTTTGTATTTATGAGTCGGGATATTGTAATTTCAACATCAGATGCACCCAAGTCACTTTGGTCAGAGCATAATGATAGTGTACCTTTTCCACACACAAAAAAATGAACTCTACTTCTACAAAATGTTGAATAAAGATTGTTTTTTTACATCCAACTTAGCTAGTCTTACTGTAAATGGCAAAAAAATATATATATTTTATTCAATTCAACAAATTTACTATCAATACAAATGTTGCATAAATTGCATCCAGCGTGTTTTCTCAGTGACATGTTTTCTGAAATATTCTTTTAAAATATGCAAATGAGGCATTCATTAAATATGCACCAATTTGCAAACATTTCCACAAATCCGAACATTGGAGGAAGCCAATATCAAAGGTTTTTACAGAGGAGATTTTAGATATTACTCCATGAATCAGAAAATGCTGTCAACAAAAACTGAACCATGATTTCAGGAGGAAGATTGTTTGTAAATATTGCATCTTCACCTTTCGTGTTCAGAAGAGAGAATGCCATACAAGTTTAGAACTACATGATGATTAGATAAAAATTTAAAAAACCTGGTTAACATTGTCTATTGACAGTGAGCTGATGCGTTTTGAGCATCTTTCCACATTACAATCATCTGCTGTGCATCACCAGTGACGTGGTTCTTCATGAAGTGAGTTACCTGATCTGCTGCATCTCTCTGCCACTGTTCCTGTATGCGGCCGTGCCACAACTGCTCCACCCGACGCCGTGTCTCCGCCTTATAGTCGCGCTCCCAAACCCCCGATTCACTGAACAGCCCACGGACGCTGAGCCTGATCAGATGGGCATTGAGCAGTGGCCTCCGCGAGCACACAGCGAGCAGCATGACTCTGGGGGAGCATACACACAGTCAAAAAGAGAACAATAACAGCATAGATGAGGATGAATGCCCCTTCATTTAAAGGAACACTCCACTATTTTTGAAAAATAATATTACGCAGCGCCTGAAAATAGGCTAACGTCCGTCAACATAACCAATGTGACCACCTGCTTGCACAGGGAGCGTGCTTGGGACTATTTTCAGGCGCTGGTTTTAAATCATTGTATCTTTTATACGCTAGCCTATGTTTTTTGCCGTACCTGTCATGATTCAGTACAGAGGAATCCTTCAAATATATTTCTAGTAGTAAAGCTTAACTGTCAACCCTGTCACCTGTCTGAATCAGAGTCAGTAATTCACTTTTTATTAAGGGGCATTGGGGCAATAATAGATGGGGCTTTTTTTACCTTTATGAGGGCATTTATACTATTAAAAAAAAGTAAAATAAATAAATAAAAACATTGTTTATAAACATTTTTTTAAAATAGTTTCCAATAAAATCTGCTTTAAAAAGTAGCCGCAAATAATGCACAAGCTGTAAGAATAAATTCTCTTCTAGAGTCATTTTTAAATATCTGACCAGTCTTCATGAAACAGGAATTCATTACTAGGGCATTTTTTCACCCCCACAATTTAAATATGGGGTCATATTTATATTTTCAGTGGCATTTGTAGCCCAAGGCCAGCTTAATTTCTGCCCCTCGTCCCAAAATATATTTAAATGCATTAATGCAGCACTATCTAACGCAAGTTATTAACACTTAAATGTCTTCATCTGATATTTGGGCATCTTTTCTTAAACAAATCTGACGCAGATGAGGCTACTGAGGAAGATGGTGCAAGGCTCGATTAGGGTGAGATGTTAGAGGACAGAAGTGTTTCTGTCGGCCGCCCACCAGCTCACACACACTCAAGGTCTCATGTTTGTGGAAGAGAAGAGAGGGAGCATAAGCAGTGTCCCGTTGCTATGGTTACCCATCCTCCAATGATGAAGACTCATGGTGATCTTGGACTCCAAAGTGAATCTCAAAGGCAGCACAATGTTCAGTGTGATCATGAGTGTTAGAAGAGCCGCAGTCAGGTCTAATGCATTTAGATGTGTAACCTCACATTGTGCTTAACAACGTTATCAATCGGTTTCAGTAATAAAGCAAGTATTTCTAGCAGGACAGGATGACAGACATCAGATGTCAAATGGTTACAGATGAAGAATAGAGAACATGGATCACATTCTACTTACACGAGAAATAACGGGACCTATAGAGATGTATTGCGATCCGTTCAGTGTGATCGATATTAAATATCCATTCAAAGCTTCATTAATACGCGATACACTCATATGACAGATTCACACCGCTACACGGGCGCCGCCATATTGTTCAAATAACTCAAACTTTATTTAAACACCCGCGCGTGAAGAACGAAGCGCACACACACACACACACACACAGAGTAGTTGAAGTCTATGATAATTCGAATAACCTTATAAGCATTTTTCCCTGGCGTCCTCTTCTAAACATACTGGAGATGCTTCCTTTGGCCTTTTATTGCTTTTATTTTTGTGAAGAATGCGCTTTTGGACAGTAAACGAATCATTTATTCACGCTCTTAAAGGGATAGTTCACCCAAAAATGTATCATCAAAAAAATTCTCGGTCTGAGTTGGTAGTACATTTGAATTTAACTTAACTTGTGACCGTTTAAAAGGCACATTGTGTATAGTATGAATAACTCACAGTCTTGGTGGGAACAGGCCTTAAAGGGGTCATATGATGCTGCTAAAAAGAACATTATTTTGTGTATTGGTGTAATGAAATGTGTTTATGCGGTTTAAAGTTCAAAAAACACATTATTTTCCACATACTGTACATTATTGTTTCTCCTCTATGCCCCGCCTTTCTGAAACGCGTCGATTTTTACAAAGCTCATCGGTCTGAAAAGCGAGGTGTGCTCTGATTGGCCAGCTATCCAGTGCGTTGTGATTGGCCACTGATTTCTAGTCGTGTCCTCTTTTGGAAGACCAAACAAAGTAGTTTTGCTTTCACAATGAAACAGCGTCACACACCGCGGCCTACAGTGAGCAGAGGCTGGAGGCTAGCGTGAGGAACGACCGGAGGGTTAGAGTGAGCAGAAGCGGGTGAAACAACAATACTACAGCGAGAATAAAAGTTACGCCTTCTTTCTTTGCGAGAACATTTGGACGGCGTTATGCAAATCTTCCCACATAGTGATGTAGACATGTGGGGGTGTGTTAGAACGAGGCGCTTTAGGTAGGCGTGGCTGACTCTTAACTTTTATCAAGAATATCTCTTTGGATTTGAGACTTTAGTCTTTGTAACTTTACAGATCTTCTTTATGCACCAAGAGCTTGTAACACTCCAAAGAGAAAGGAACAATTGAAATTGCATCATATGACACCTTTAATGCCGGGTTCAGCCTACACAATATTTTTGTCGGTCACGATAGTCACTGTGTCAGGTTACACGATTTGGACTCCTAAAATCTTGTCGTGTCGTGGACAAGAAACATGTCAGACTACACGTTGCTTCCTGACCATTCATTGTGTGCCGTCTTTAATGACGTGCGTGATGTCATCGAGAAGGCGGAACTAGCGACTGACTTCCGAAAACAAGAGCGTAAACATCGCTGAAGCGCTTCCGCTATAGTTCACCAGCATTTTTCTTTCTTTGTTCTGTCGTGGTAGTCCCTCGATGACACATCATACAGGCAGGAGTACTCCACGAACCTTTCCTCCATCTCATAATTATTTCGTTTCGCCATGTTTGAAACATGTGTATGAAAGAGCTTCTGTGCTGCTATTGGTCAACGTCACCAATGTGACAGAACTCGTCGTGGACGACGGAAAAAAATTAAACATGCTAGTCTTTCTGTCGTGAAGCATCGCAGATGCGGGATCGGTTGTCGTCCGCTATGACACACTACACGAGCTGAAACGATGGAATCTTGCGTTCCGACGCCCATTGTCGTTTACGAATCCCCACGACATCCTACGTCAAGCGAATCATGGCAAAATCGGGCTAAAATTGTGTAGTCTGAACCAGGCATAAGACACTCCGCTCCTCAAATTCATTAGCATTTATATATGTAGTGTTAATTGAAAATGCTGTACATATTCAAACAACCATTTCTTTATTTACCCTTGCATTGCAAACAAGCAGAGACAGTCCAAAATGTCTTCATTGGTTAAAGCTGCAGTCCGTAAGTTTTGCCTCTTTGTCGCCATCTCTGTTTGAAAACCAGCAATTGCAGCTGTGTGCAGAATTATCTTTCTTGCGTGGGCCGTGCGGCGGCACGGCTCCAGCCTGGATTAATCTAATGTTTTGAGGAGTATGTGTGTGTGCAGTCAGTGACCGCACCGGTGTGAATATTGTACTTTGCACTCACAGATTCTAGCCATCGTCTTGGAATATATGACCCAAATAAGCATTTTCACCATATATTGTCATCTGAACAAGTAACAAGTCTGCCACATTTGTTCTGACCAACTGAGGAAAAAAGTATTACAATAAATTGTGCTACTAATGGTGATTTAATCTAAATGTCACATCAAATTATTATTATTGTTATACTTTATTCTCAAATTGTTCATGTTAACAACATCAGCATTGCGTGACTATGAGTATAGTGTGTATAAGCGAGTAGATTTCAATTTCTGTACAGTCTAATCTCTAATTGTCATACCACTCGAATTTCATATTAAGAAATTCTTTTAACCCAAAAAGCAAATTATGCTCCCTTCGAACTGGTTGTCTTTAAAATACAAATCGTGTGTAATCCCAGGCTATCTGTACTCAGAAGCACATTTAAAACTGGAATATAATTGAATTTCATTCACATGTGTTTCATAAACACATAATCCTTTCTGTATTACAATCCGCCATCAAAATGATACGTTTAATTATTCCAGCTGCTGTGAGAAAAGGCTATAAACGATCCGTCACCTGCAGGATCCTCACATGCGATAGCCTACTAGCCGGGACAACTTCTTTATGTTTACAGACATGACGTGATGACGCAGAGCCATGCTCGAATTTCCCGCGAAAACCTACCCGGACCACTCAAACTAGAAAACATTATTTTAAGCTGACCGTTGTGAATCGGGCTAAAGTAAGGCGATAGTTTCGAACACTGGCTGGTTATGTACTTGCTCAAATATTGATTTCGGATAATTCTTAACCAAAAAAAGTTACGGACTGCAGCTTTAAATATAAAACAAAAACACAGCCAAACGTAAAGGGTGACCAACAGTAGCCTACTGAATTATGAAGAAAAAAAAAATGAGTGTGTGCATTTTACCGTGCTTCTTACACATTAATGATCAATGAGCACGTCAAATTTAAAGGGGTGGTTCACTGGTTTTTTTCTAGGCTTCATTGTGTTTATGGGGTGCAGTCTAACATGTGTTAATGCTTAGTTTTTTAAAAAACGCATTATTTTTCACATTATTTACCTTTATTCCACATACATTTAATAGGTCCCTTCTCTGAGAAACGGGCTGATCTTTTCCTGTTTTTATGAAGCTCCTCCCTCAGAAATAGGCGATGGGCTCTGATTGGTTACTTAGCCCAGTGTGTTGTGATTGGCTAAACCACCTCTAGTGCACGTCTAAACGTCCCGCCCCTCACCTCAGCGGCATGTGCTCCGGTTGTATTGCAAACAAAGGCGTCGTTAATATGGCTTATCAGTTTGAGCCCGATTGAGAAGCAGAGGATATTACTGAAGAGGATCGTGCAGAACCTGTGCAAGCACGGCTTTTAACGGTAGACCTATGTTTTTTGTTTGTTGTTGTCTCATACTTTTAGATATGCTGTTATTTGTAAATGCCACTGCTTATATTAGCTTTTAATATTTGGTTTTATCCTGATTAAAGCTTTAATACAGTTCGGCAACTGTACGCGCGTCCATGTTTAACGCTTCTCATAGCTATGTGAAAATAAGTGTTTAAATGGAATGTCATGATCTGAATGAGAGAGAGAGAGGCCAAGCAGGCGACGCGAGGAACAGTATTAAGAACCGCTGCTTTAGAACATTGTTTTTGAAACTTGTGAATCTATTAGAATCGTTAGAAGACAGAATCACGATTCATATACGAATAGATTTTTACGTGCACTTCTAGTTTTCTCTTCCTCTTCTCTAAAGCAGCGCAGCATGGCCTCGCCCCCTTTGCTGCCTTTTCCCGAGGGCGGGGTTTATCTGGGTTTGTGATGTCACGAACCCGGGAAGTAACTCGTTGTAGTCCCTACCAGCCGTTTTTGTAGGCTTTAAACTGCCAGAATTTTAAAAGATCTCCGTTTTCATTGAACTTTCAGCTTCGTAACTTTGCAGATATTGTTTATGCTCAAACAGCAACCTTACACACTAACTAACGTTTAAAAAGTGAAATCGCAATCAACCACCCCTTTAAATTATAATTTTGGCCACCACTGAAATGGGTCAAACCACAGATATTACCTGATACACTTGGAAGTCCGCGCTCTTTCAAGCTATGTCTGAAATGGATGTGCACCGTTCAATTGAATGATTACGTTTACCCTCGGTTTATATGTGCAGATGCATGTGAAAGTTATGTTCGTTACCATAGCATACCATACCATTTCACAGAGGAGTTTGGAGTGATTTGGAAGTCAGTTTTGTTTGTTTGATGCTGTAACCTGTTTCATTAAACCCTGACTATTGGTGAAGATTTGAGATGGACTGCTGTAAAAGCCACAAATATATTTGAAAAGATACATGTCTTGGCCTGCAATGATTGCCGCTTAGAGGGCTATATTTTTTATCATTGTATTTATTTTATTATAGTCTTTGAATCTGACACTTGAGCATCACAATGAGTGGCACAGTATCCTTCATACAGTAGCTGCCAGGCATGAGAATTCAGTGTTGGATGTTTTACCCTGTTACCTTAGCAACCCTTTTATCTCTCAATAGCAGATTGTTTTCTGTTGAAGCGTTCAGATTTGTGAAATCGGGAGCGAAACACAGGCTCTATTTCACACCAGATGAAACAAACAGAGCATTTACTCCTTTACTGTAAGGTCACTGAAGTTCAGTCATATCTTCATCCCAAAAGGCTCTGTCATATGTTTCAAAAATCTGTCTGTGGTGAAGCTGCATCTGATGATTAGATTTCTATTGTTTTACATCATCATTTCTTTCAGATAATAGTACAGATTAAATTTGTGAACCTTTGAGTCTGTATTGTTGTTATCGTTAACTAAAACTGAAAATATATGTAAAAAATGACTGAAATAAATTAAAATATAGAAAAATTATATTTAATTTTAGTTAGAAGCCAAAGCAACATTTATAATTTTGCTTCATCTAATAAAGTAGTATCCTACTAA